CCTCCTTGTTCTGTCATCTGCCACCTGAGAACAGTCCAGCTCCATCCTCTTTGGAACCCCGCTTCAGGTACTTGAAGGCTACTATTAAATCCCTTCTTAGTCTCCTCTTCTCCAGACTAAATAAGCCCAGTTCCTTCAGCCTGTCCTCATAAGTCATGTCCCCCAGCCCTCTCTGCATTTTCATTGCCCTCTGCTGGGCTCTCTCCAATTTGTCCATATCCTTTCTTTAGTGGGGGGGCCCAAACCTGACCACAGTACTCCAGATGTGGCCTCACCAGTGCTGAATGGAGAAGAATCACTTCCCTTGACCAACTGGCAACACACCTACCAGTGCAGCTCAATATGCCGTTAGTCCTCTTTGCAGCAAGGGTACGCTGTTGCCTTATATTTAGCTTATTGTCCACTGTAACCCCCAGGTCCTTTTCTGAAGAGCTGCTACCCAGCCAGTCAGCCCACAGCCTGTACTGGTGCATGGGATTGTTTCATCCTGAGTGCAGGATTTTGTGCAGCTTTAATCCAAATAGTCATGAGTAGGTTTGAGTCTGTGCCCACTTCCACTGAAGTTAATGGACATTATAGTGTTACTGTCTGTACTCTTCTACCTTCTAAAAGCAAAGGAAACAAATATTTGCTTTAAAGTCTACATATGAAAAAATACATGTTTTAAATAATCATACATTATTGTGTGCAACATCATGACTTGTTAAATTGAATCATAACAAGTGAATTAATAAGATAGAGCAGGAGGAAACCCAAGAGGCATACTGACTTTAAATAAATCTTTTCTGATGCTTCCTGTTCTGCTCCTGAGATACCACAGAAAAACTGCTAAACCAAAATCAGGGATTGTGACAAAAAGCAACAGCTGACCCTTTTACAACCCTTTTAGCATTTGAAGGGTTTTGTCTTTTTTGTGCCACCAAATTTTTACCCATTGCCAGAGAGGAAAGATTTTGCTTAATATTTTGATTTACTCTCATCTGACCTGGTTTATCATAAGAATGCTGCAATTAAGAGGTCTGTTTACTTGTTAAGACCACTCTCTCCAACTCATCTGTGTCCTTGCCAATCTGGTGGTGGTTCCAGAATCTAGTTTGTTTCCAACTTTGTCCACGGTTTTCCTCTGTTTGACTCCAGTCGCTTCAGATAATCTCATGCCTGTTTTAATAATGTGCAGTAATCTCATAGCCTTTGTAATGTGCACGAATGCTGGTACAGATGTTTAGGTTTATATATAAATAAAATTAAACATTTCTAAGTGCTCTTTATATTCATTTTAGATGTCTTGTATTTTATAATGTTCTAATAGTAGAAATGCTAAAGCTATCTTAAAAAATAAAGTACTACTTACTAGAATAAGCATTAGATTAGATTTCAACTGAAGGCCATGCACTAACAGGGAGGTTAGTGCAAATTTGGCTTAGGTGAATTTACAGTGCACTATCAGCTCTAAACTAGCTTCCTGTGTGGATTCTCATGGTGCACAGCAGCTTGAAGTTGCTGCTGTGCACCATGGGTGTTTTTACACTTGCTCCAGGGGCGGGGGTCAACCCTAATTAAAGCAACCCCAAGAGCCACTCTAATTAAAGTGCCCGCAGCATCTCATGTATCAGCATCCCCACACTTCAAAATGGCAGCAGGGGTACTTTAACTAAAGCTTGTCAAGCAAGCTTTAGTTAAAGCACCCCTGAGACCATTTTGAAGTACGAGGACACTGATACATAAGACGCAGGAGCTCCTAGAGGTGCAGTAATTAGTACGCTCCAGCAGACTTGATTAATCGAGTCTTCTCTGACATGCTGTAATTGCAGCACATCAGAGCAGCCTCCATGCATATCTACAGGCACCCCATGAGTCTCACTTCAAAAAGGGAGTGAGCTCCTGTGGCAGGACATGTGCAGTGCCTGCCACTTTAAGGTTTCTAGTTGGCAGTGGAGCAGCCAGCAGGTGGGTGCTAGCCTCATCAAGGCTAGCACATGACCCCAGGAGGGCCCTGGGATTGGCTAAGGGTGTGGAGCAGCTTCCATTTTAACCCAGGTCCTCAGCGAGAGAAGCAGCAGTTGATGCTGAGGAGGCAACATCAGGCTGGCTCCTGGAAGACCTTGCAGTTAAGGGCAGGAGCTATGGGGATGGTTTGAAGGCTCCTGGTCCTGGGTGTGACGTAAAACTGCACCCTGATGGGGATGGGTGGTCTGGTGGGGCTGTTTGTGGTGGAACAGTCCCCTCAGAAATGCTAGGTCAGTTACCACGCTGGTGAAAGGCAAGGAAGGGGGCCTGAAAACCCCAGTCCCTACTCATGGGTCAGTTACTGACAAGGAAAGAGACCTGGGCCAGGCAAGCCCAGAGGGGGACACCTGAGCCAGTGTAGTGGGGCCAGGCATGGTGGCAGCCACCTGAGCCTACAGGGGGGAAGACCCCAGTGCAGAGGGCCAGGCATGGCAGCAGCCACCTGAGCCCCACCAGGTGGAAGACTCCAGCAGCCCAGTGAGGGGCCAGGAGTGTGAAGCAGCCAAGTGAGGGCAGAAGGCCCAGTGAGGGGCCAAGTGTGTAGAGCGGCCCAGTTGAAGATGAATGGCCCTAGTGAGGGGCGGAACCACTGACTGGGGGAAACAGATATATCGGATGGGATAATATGGATATACCAGATGTGACAGAAATATTGGAATTGACAGTATGGAAATACTGGATGTGACACAGAAACAGCTGTGAGGCACGGGACACGTGTAAGGGAAGGTCGGAGCATGTACTTAGGCCCTTGTTATCAAGAGGTCAAACAATGGGCAGCCTCCCGCCTTAGAAATAACATTATTTCATCAAGGTGAGGCAGGAAAGTGAAGCGGGGGTTTAACCGTGAGCAGGTGGGTGGCTGGCACTGAGACCCAGCCCTAAAAGGCCAGCCGTTACAGCTCCTTTGCACTGTGTGTACACCACTAGTGCCCATTTGGTAAGTTAGTGTAGGTCATTAGTGCAGTGTAAACTCAAGGCACAAACAAAAGCGACAGTCTTTGCCTGACTGGGCCCCTGAAAGCTCTCTACAGTCATGACCAAACACAAGTTCATGGCTGCAGAGTGCTTTAAAAGGGCTTAATCCTGCAACAATCTGAACCCGCATTACATGAGGGTTCAGATAGTGATTTCATTAACTTGTGTCTACGTGCACTGGGACCAGGACTCAGCTGATGCACCCCAGCTCTCCTCCCGGCACTGTTTTCAGAATGGGAGGGGGGGAAGGGAGTGGAGGGAGTTTTTTCTGGGGATTGCCCTTCTGGTGCTGGAGGGTGGACTAGGTGGATTGGAGCTCCAGGCCATCCATCCGCCCACTCCAGCATGGCTGGGGAAACCCCAGAATGTACCTCCCTCCCCTGCCTCTTCCCCCTCCCATCCTGAGACAGAATGGGACCTGGGAGAGGGGGGTGGGGTAAAGGAAGAGGCTACTGAAACGTAACCTCTCTCCCTGAATTAGCTCCAAATTGGAGCTCTATCCCGTAGCCTCCCGACCCAACAGCTACCATCTGTTGGGTCGGGAGGATCAGTCTTTCTATGAAGTGTCATGAGTTAGACCCAGGAGATGCACTTCTGTTCCTTCATATCCTAGCTTACTGCATACTGTCTTCACACTGGACAAACCCTAAGTGTCCAAATAGGGTGTGTGTAGATGAAACAGGGACCCTAAATTGCAGTGGTGGGTTTTAAAAAACACTGCTTCAATTTAGGGCTGATTAAACCCCTGTGCTGTACACACACCCCACTGACTTAACTGCCTCTCAGGTGGGGAGGAGAGGGCAAGCTGCCGTCAGGCGGAGCAGTCCCTGGGCAGAGGGGAGGTGGCGGGGGGCTGGTGCTTCCCTCCACAGCACCTGCTCCCTCTCTTCCCCCCCACCCCAGCAGCACCCGTCCAAAGCAGCAGTGGTGGGGGGAGGGGGAGAGAAGCAGGCAGCCTTACCCTGACTTATTGCTCACCATCCCTGCACCTTGCCCCCCTGCTTCCTGCCCCCTGACCACTTGTCCTGTCCCATCCCACCTTCCCCACACTGCCACAGCTGCGCTTGCTGTGAGTCCCTCACTGCTGTCTGGCTGTGCTCTACGTCCTGGCCTGCTCCCTGGCTTTGCACTGATTCACTCTCTACTCATTGGCTTAGGATGGAACCAGGGAGCAGCATAAGATCCAGTGTGGAGCCAGAGAGCAGTAAGGGACTCAGCATGGAGCCAGAGCAGACAGCAGCACAAGACTGCACTGTCTGCAAGTACTGCATTGTTACTTAGTACTCGATTCTTAGATGAGGCTTCATTTTCCACATGTTGAATGGGGGAAAGCATTTAATCTTGGAATCGAAGAAATAGAATTTTTTTTTTTTTCGTATTAATTTGAGTGTTCATCAAAGTAAACAGGATATAGCAGCCAAATTTAATGGTTTGCATATTCATAATACCCGTTTGCTCTTTGTAACTGGTATCAGGATCAGGCATCTTTGTAAAAATGATTATCTTGTGCAGTTCTAGAAATGTGTAGTTTATCATCGCTCGTTTCTAAAATGAATCGCTTAAGATGTGTTCTGGCAGCTGAATGTGTCTCATGTCTAGACTTAGGTAGTCTGTTAATTAACTGAGAAAGTCAAGAGTGCCCTCCTGTCTTTTTTTATTATTGTCATTTTCTTTACAGGCACCTATAATTTCAGCAGGGTTTTTATTGGGTTTTACTACTCAAATCACTGATTTAAGAACAAAATAGTTATTATTATAATTTTCAGACACATCAAAGGCACAGGTGGGAAATACTAAGAGGCTACTTCTCAGCCTCTTGCGGGCGAAGATCAAGTGTAGTAATTTTATAAAGGTCAGTCCTGTACTAAGTGATGCAGTGGGAAGTATTTACCATTCACTCCACCAACCAGGGTTGGCATCCTGGTTGTTGTCAACTGACCTCTGGTTTTGAGGAGGTCAGTCGTAAAGCTAGAAGCTCCATCCTTCATGGTTTATGCTGCGTAAACAATGGACCAGTATCCTTTTACATGATTTAATGTTTATTGAGAAGACATAGTCAACACCATTTTAGTTCTGTTCCTAGTTCTGCTAATGTCCAAACTACTGGCTGCAGCAGAAGTAGAATCTGATTCATAATAAGGATGGAGATGTCAGTCTGAAGTCAAATAGAAGGCAGGGTAGATTTGTACCTTGCAGAACATCCAAAGTGAATATTACATAGTACAAGCTTTCATGAGCTTAAGATCATTTCATCAGATGCTGTGAAAAGACAGACAGAAAGCAGAGTATAAGGAGGGGAAATTAGAATGCTAAAGACAAGAAAGAGGTAGAGACAAGGTAAAGGTGGGGGGAGCTGTGCTAAGAGAGCCAAACCCATAGAGACAAAGGAGTCACTAAAGCTAACCCAGATAATTGGATAAGAATCCATAGTTCCTGTTTAAAACATACTTAACACAATCTGGTCTGTAGATGATTTCTTATTTCACAATTTCCTGTTCAAATTGGTTTTTAAAAATTTGTTGTCTGAGAACAACCACCTTCAGATCAGTAATGGAGTGTCCAGGGAGATTAAAGTGTTCTGCCACAGGCTTGCATGTGTTTCTGCAGCTGATTTCAGAGCAATATTCATTTGTTCTGTCATGCAGGGATCCTCTAGTGTGTCCAAAGTAGACTGCAGAGGGGCCTGTAAGCAGGTGATGGCATATATGACATGGGTGGAGTTGCAAGTGAATGAACACTGGATGTTATAATCTCTGTTATCCAGTGGTGATGGCCTGGTGCTTTGATGATGCAAGGCGTAACGTTTCAGTGAAACTGGGAGTTGGGTAGCCTGTTGCTTGAGAGACTATTTGAAGGGGGGGGTGCTTGTAAACAGTGGGAATTTATTTACTTAAACATTTTTCAAGTCTGATGCCTGCCCTTAAGGATCCCTTACAATTTTTGTGATTTTTTTTTTTATAGTATTTGCATATTTAAAAGCTACTTTTCTTTTCCCTTTTTCAATGTGAAAAATCCACAGGCACAATAGAAATAGAAACCTTAAAGCAGCAGGTAAAATACATTTCAGACAAAATTGTAAGCTGACATCCTGTCTGTAAAAAAAAAAAAAAAAAAAAAAAAAAAAAAAAATATCTCTATCTCTATCTATCTATCTTTTTAAATGTTTGGCTAACAGTAGCTTTCCATGTGAACTTTATGGGAGCTGTTAATTCAGGGGTGGGCAATTATTTTGGCTGAAAGGCTGCTTAATTAGTTGTGGTGAGCTGTTAACGGCCATAGCGGTAGCCCTGCCCCTTGACAAGTGCCTTGCGCCCTGGTCACCATCTTGGGACTGGACGTTCCGGCTCCTAACCCCTGACCTTTGCCACTGAAAGTCCCTTCCCTTGCCCCTGGAAGTACTCCTTTTGAGGGGTGTTGCCATCTTGGAGCCAGAAAAAACCCCAAACCGTATAATAAAAGTCAAACGTCTCCTATAGCATATTTTAATTTTATTTAAAAAAATATTTTAGTCCTGATTTATGTGTGTTTGCGTAGTCTACATAGAGGTGATTGCATAATAACTCAAAGTCTTACTCGTGTGTGTGTGTGTGTGTGTGTGTGTGTGTGTGGTGGGGTATGTATATGAGTGGTTGTGTGTACAGGGTTTGTGAGGGGGTGTGGCTGTGTGTGAGGGTGTAGGGTATGTTGGGTATGGGTGTGTGTACATGTGGAAGGGTTGTGGAGAGTGTGGGCAGGGTATGGGTATGTGGGTTTTGTGGGGGCTCTGGGGACCCTCCCACACACACCTCCCCCATGGCGCACAGCCCCCACCACCACTGCCAGCAGCTGCACATGGCAGCTGACAAGGAGAGGAGCCAGGCTGGCTCGCCTCTATCATGTGGGGCTGATGTGCAGCTCTGGGGACTCGCATGCCAACGTGGGGGAAGGCCTGTGCAATGGAGCCAGCTGCCTTCCCCACTCCCTGCCACCACATGCAGCTCCGAGGACTCTTCCAGAAGTGGTGGGGAGCCCTGCGCCCTGCTTCCCAGTGGAGTCCTGGGGGCTGCACGTAGCAGCAGAGTGGGGCCACACCATCAGCTCCATCGTGCAGGGCTGCCCCTTGGTGGTGTGTGAATTCCCAGGGCTGCACATGAGCCCTGCGCAATAGAGGTGGGCCAGCCTGGCTCCACTCCTTGCCTGCTGCCACATGCATCTCCTGAAACTGGCTGAAGCCGTGCCCTGCCCAGCAGCTGCACCTTCATTGGCCGTGAGCACCTTGAGGGCCTGTCACCTGCTGCTGCTGCTACCTCCAGGAAGGGCTGCGCACCATGGGGGAAAGAGCATGGAGGGGTCCTCACACCCCACACCCTGCTCACCCACACTACCGCCACCCTGCTGGGAGCATGCCTCAGGCTCCACACTCTTCCCAGCCCCACGTTCCCTCCCAGCTGCAGCTTCCCTACCTGCTACCCAAAGTGAGCACCGTAGCAGGGACATAAAGAGGAACCTCTGGAGGCTGGGGAAGCTGAGCAAGTCCTACAGTGGTGGGAGCAGTGGCCCCTCCTGGAAGCTGTGCATGCTGGCTGCACTAGGGCCCTCCCATGCAAGAAGGTGAGAGCGAAGCACATGGGCTGGGCGGGGTACAATTAATTGGTGGGCACCTGCGGGCCAGATGAAATCGCCTAGTGGGCCAAATCCAGCCCCTGGGCCGTATTTTGCCCACCCCTGTGTTAATTGTTAGCAGCTAATTCAAACTGGCAAGTTTCAGTTTCTGATTAGTGAAGGCTTTCTATGGCACTGGCTTTTCTGAACAGGTTTAAGGCATGTGAAAATGATAAAGTGCCTTACAACTTCCTAGTTTTCTAAGCAGCAGAATGTGAATCTCCTTTGCTTAGTTTATTTCCACTTAGCTATGCAATAAAGGGTTTATATTTCAGTGTGAATAACTTTTTTCACTAAGATATGAACAGACTACATGCTACAATACATATTAACAAGTATGCATACGCACAGTTACTTGTCAGAAACGTATATACCCATTAATTCAGTGGTTTAAAGGCAAATTATTTCAGTAGCATTGTATCTTCTGCTCTTAAAATCCAACTGAGGAAAAATAACAGTGTGAGGAAGGTCACAGTTTTTTGTGTGCATCAACAGCTGAAGCACACTTTACACCTAAAGGACATAAGGTGATCATAGAGAAGAAAACAGCGATGGTACTATGTTATGAGATGAAAAGCATGGTATTTTGATGCATATAAAAGAGCACAATATTAAGATGATGCAGAAATGTTGGAAGGTCACAGTGTTACATGTTAATTGCTACAGTTAGTTGACTTTGCCATCTGCTTTTGATGGTGCATTTATTGAAAAGGGTTTAACTGGCAGCTCAAGTAATGAATTGGTGTTCATTAAATGTGTAAA